AGGGTCTCCTGAGGTTATCTTTTAAAAACGCTTCTGAACACAAAAGGGCATAAACGCGGTATGCAAATGCAGCTAAACTGACGTTTTTTAACCTACGTTTTCTAGAAGTCAGTTTCCATCGTTCAGAAGAGTTTTCCAAATGCCCCGTGTACATGAGCCCTAACAATACGAAGGCCAGGCAGTAGATGCAATGATTTTAATGCTGTGGTTTGTTTTATAACATGATAGCTTGTCTAAGAAAGTCACAATTTAGAGTATCACAAGATTATTCTATTTTGCTCTGAAAAGCGTGAGTTCAGCCAGTAAGGCAGTAGTGACCACTATTACCCCACCATCTCAATAAACATATGACCTGCTATTTCACGTCTTGTGCAATGAGTACATTCTTCCAGGAAGTCATGACCTGCTACCTTGTGGGCATTCTTCCCATTTAGGATGACTTCATTGTTTTGCACAAACATAAATCCAATCAGCTGACAAAGGAAACATACAGCTTTATGCTTTACTCTAAGTGGAGCTCTCAGTAGCAGCTGGCTCCAAGATGGTGGAAGAGCCACAGACACAGTATTAATCAATAGACCAAATGTTTGGTTGGAATCTATCAAAGAAGTTTGTATCAAAGCTTGAACGAAAATATATTTTGGGGGTTAAAACCCCTCAAAACAATGTAATGTAAAAACTGGCATTCTAAACACTTTTCAAAGTCTCGTGAAGTAAAGTAAGCCACTTGAAGTAAAACTCTACATTAACTGTGGAAATTTGGAGGATACATCGTAAAGGTTTTGAAAACGTTTTACAAGTTCCTACATTTCTGGTTTCTAAAATAATCCATGTCTACCTTCTCATGCCTTCAAACGGATTTCTGAATGGGAGGCTCAGCCTTCATTATAATCACATGAACAATCTTTTTGTTGTAATGAGGAAGGCTGCAGTGTCGGCATCCCTTGGTAAGGATGAGCCTGAGGCTGGCCATACACCAGTCACTTTTTTTTTGTTTTTTATTCATTATTTTGATTTTCTAATGGTTAGTGGGGTCAATCAGTGTTCACTTTTAGTGATGAAAAAATTGAAAGCAGCAGGATGAAATGTTTTTTTTCAAAACTCATTCTTTGAATGTGGTTTTAATTTGAGAAATATCATACATATTGTAATGTGCATGTTCTTGGCACAAAACCTGCTCTTAGGAGCCTGTAAAAAATTGCACCTGTGATTAGCAGATCATGGGTGCAATGTGGGGCTCCTGAAAACTCCCATTACACTGTCCTCCTATATGGGCTGCCTGTACCTCCCATATGGACAGGCAGTTACTGAAGCCCAGAAAGATCAATGAACTACAAGAGCGCTCAGCAGCCCCCTTGTAGTTCATTGAGAACTACAGTCTACCACAATGGCAAATGGTACTTGTAGTCCATTCAGAGTTCTGTGAATGAATTACGAGGCTGTGTGGGCTTGACAGTGGGTGTGGGAAGAAGAGCCCCCATCTACTGTCACAATGGGGGATCAGGTCGGGGTGCCGGCAGGTGCTTTAGTTACTGTACATGTTATACCCTGAATACGGGTGTACCATGTAACATGTTACTAAAGGTGAACTTCTCCTTTAATACATCTGGGATTCCATTCAGGTGGCAGGTTTGGACAAAATGTTAAGGATTTTCAAACAAAATTAGTTGACCTAATGATTGCAAGATCGAATCCCTGACAAATGCTTTTTCAGAGTTTCTGTACAAATGTTCAAACCAAACTACTGGTGTGTAGCCAGCTGTACAGGATATACAGTATGTTCTGAAATTATCACAAGAATCCCCAATTAAACTGGAAATGCATGTAATTAGCCTTCAGGGAAAACTATTTGCAACTCACAAGAAAGAAATGAGAGTGGTGTACAAAATGTACCTAGGTGTCCATGTTGCAAGAAGGCTTTTACCAGTTTTATAAAATCATCACTGCTACAGACTGGAATGGAAAGGTGATATTTAATACCAATATACAGGTGTACCTCGGTTTATGAAGGCCTCGGTTAACGTAATTTTTGGTTTATGAATGAAAATCCATTGAAAATAATGGCTCGGTTTATGATTTTTTTTCGCAATACGAACGGATTAATTGGTTTTCAATGCATTTACAATTTTTTTTTTATCATGTCCCTTTATGCCTTTAAAGTGCACTTTATAAAGAGTTTTGAACAGATAAAACTTTTTTTTGACTTTTTTCTGACCTCCGGAACGGATTAATTGGTTTTCAGTGCATTTACAAATGTTATGCCTTTAACCTCCCTGGCGGTATTCCCGAGTGTAGCTCGGGGTAACATTTCAGTACCAAAAGCGGTAACCCCGAGCTACACTCGGGCTTACCCTGCGGCACTGCTCCGGCATGTGTTCTTCACTTACCTTACCCTGCGCTCCCACGATGTGTCCCCTGCAACGTCCCCGGCCATCTCCTCCGGCCGATGCCGGCATCCGGCTTCTGTGTCCTGTCCCTGTGACGTCGGGACGTACGGGCGCCGCCGCCGCCGGCGGCGGGAAATTTAAAAATTTTAAAAAATGTCATTTTTTTTTTTTTTCATTTTACACAGTAAAACATTGCTGTTTCAACCCATTTCACATACATATTGTCCCTAGTGCTTTGTCCTGCGCCCTGCCTGCATTTTGTCTGTTCTTTCTGCCTGGAAACTGAGAAATGTCCATGGCGTCCAAAAAGTGTCCCTTTAGGTCAAAAGCGGTTTAGATCAGCTAGAGAACAGCGATAGTAAATCAGAACCACTTACAGAATTGAGTGATAATGATTCGTGGGGGAAATTCGTCATCAGAAAACTGAAAACGATTTTGCGACTGAGCTCAGCAATGTGCGAACTTGGCGCTCTATTTCATATTTCAGTGTTTTTGGTTTGATTATATTATTGAATTAAATTTTTTATTATTTTTATATTATTTTTATGATTATTTATTAAATTATAATTTATGATTTTGTGTTTCAAATTTTATCATACCCGGGATGTTTACTAGACTCTTGTTCGGACAGATTTCAGTGAGTTTTTCCTAAAAATTACAGCCTACAATAAAAAAAATACATATTTCCATGCAAAAAAAATGGTACCGCTTTCAGCACCAAAAATCTGAAATAATCATACCGCTAGGGAGGTTAAAGTGCATTTTAAAAGAGTTTTGAACAGATAAGACTTTTTTTTACTTTTTTCTGACCTCCGGAATTAATTAATTGGTTTTCGATGCATTTACAAATTTTTTTTAATCATATCCCTTTATGCCTATAAATTGCACTTTATAAAGAGTTTTGAACAGATAAAATTTTTTTTGACTTTTTTCTGACCTCCGGAACGGATTAATTGGTTTTCAGTGCATTTACAAATGTTATGCCTTTACAGTGCACTTTATAAAGAGTTTTAAACAGATAAGACTTTTTTTTTACTTTTTTATAACCCCGGAATGGATTAATTGGTTTTCGATGCATTTACAAATTTTTTTTAATCATATCCCTTTATGCCTATAAATTGCACTTTATAAAGAGTTTTGAACAGATAAAACTTTTTTTGACTTTTTACTGACCTCCGTAACGGATTAATTGGTATTCAGTGCATTTACGATTTAATTTTTAATCATGTCCCTGTACAGTATTTATGCCTTCAAAGTGCACTTTATAAAGAGTTTTGAACAGATAAAAGACTTTTTTTTTGACTTTTTTCTGACCTCCGGAACGGATTAATTGGTTTTCAATGCATTCCTATGGGAAACCGCATTTCGGTTTATGCATTTTTCGCAATACAAAAAGTCCAGAGAATGAATTAAATTTGTAAACTGAGTACGTCTATATAAAATAGCGGCTTGAGTAACAATTTTTTATGTTATATAAAAAAATCTGTTTTAGAACTTCCTTTACAGATCCGCTCTTAAGTGCATTTTTTTTAAACCTGTCTATTCTGATATGATTGCTATATTTCCTTTGTACAGATGACACGTAACAGCTGGTATTTGAACTATGCCCACAAACAAACGCCACAAAGCTTTAAATTGGTTATCTGTCTGTAATTACACTTTTGTTTCTATCACTATTAATAATACCATTTTGTTTATAGTACATCAAGTGGCGGAACGTGTGGAGTCCCTTGGCCAGTTTGTCATGAAAAACAAGGAGGACATTGAAGGGTCATGGCAATAAAGTTCTGTGCATGGATTGGTGTAAAGACAAGCGGAGGATTGTGAGCTCATCCCAGGTAAAGATACTTATGTAATAAGGGTGTGGCTATGAACTTCAATGGAAGTCTGTCAAAATGTGGTTTTTGCCCAGAGATCTCACAGACTGACATGATTCATGGATCATTTTTAGCGATGTGACGCAGATGTGGGATTGTCAGCATTCACAGATGTGGATGTTTAAGAATGTTTAGTTGCTGTGCAACAAAAGGATTAAAAGCAGTATAATTTATTGCTACAAAACGAGGTAATAAAGCCTAAGTTTAGTTAAAAAAAAAAAAGCCAGCGCGAGGGATGTGACTTACCATTATTGGGACTTTTATGGAGCAGGGGAGGTAATAGATACACTTTAATGCCCCATGTACACGGGACTCTTCTGAACAATGGAAACTGACTGCTGGAAAAACATAGGTTAAAAAACGTATGTTCAGCTGCGCTTGCGTACGCGTTTATGAGCATTTGCGTTTAGAAGCGTTTTTTAAAGATAACCTCAGGAGACCTTCCAAAATGCAAAGAATGCACTGAAAAACAGTAAAAAAATTAACTATTTCAGACATTTTGAGAGAAATATCGACAACAGAAGCAGAGAGAGCAGTATGTGTTGAGATTAGCTTTTTTTTTTTTTTTTGTGGTGTCTAACATATTTTTTTTCATGTGAAATTTCAAAGTATGAAGTACCAGGTCCATTTGAGTCCCGGGAAAACGCTTTGCATGCATTTTTCATGATGAAAAAAGGCTCTGGACAGCATCTGGAAATGGAAGAGTTAAAAAAAAATTTCCAAGCGCAAACGCTTATAAACGCGGTTAGCTGCGTTTACACATGTTTACAGGCACTTCGCATTTGAAACGCTGATAAAATCTACTCCTGAACGCAAGTTTGGTGCGTTCAAAAAAAACGTCTGTAAACTCAACTGCCTGTAAATGACATAGTGTACATGGATACATAGGAAAACATTAGGGAGTGTTCAGGGGCTGCTAAACAAACGCAGAAAAGCTCCTGAATGTGAGTCTATCAGCTGCAGTGCACATGGAGCCTAAATCCCAAGTTTAGTTAAAAATAAGAATCAGCACAAGGGACATTACTTACCATCAGTGTGATGTGTCCCATACGCTACTGTCTCTTGGTTTAGGTGAAATATTCCTCTTCCAATGCCCCCCCCCCTCCCCACCAGCATAACCTTCTGGTGCATCGGGCATTAATAGACCTGGGGGAGCAGTGACAGTTACTCATCAAGAGTACCCAATTATGCCCGCCGTTTTTAGCCCACCTCCTTTGCTTAGAGAAGCTGTACTATTGCAACTATGAATGAAGCACATTCTGTGAATAGAGGGGCAGACTTTTTCATCATCCACCCATCCTCCATTCACAGATCACGTTTGATTTGTAGAACCTGGGTGGAAAGGCATTGACCCTTGATGAGCGACTGTCATTGCTCCCCCTGTTCTATAAACCATTTGCAGCACCAGAAAATTATGGTGGCAGGTGTGAGGGCACCAGAGGAGGAGGATTTCATCTCAACCAGGAGACAGTAGCACTAGGTACACAACACTCTGATAGTTAGTCATGTCCCTTGAGATGATTTTTTTAAAACTAAACTTAAAGTGTTACTAAACCCTGGACCCTGCATGCACTATAGCTGCTCTCCCACAGTACACAGAATATGGAAATGCAATTATGTTTGTAACATAAACTACTAAATACCTTTTCTCATCAGCAGCCAGAGCAGTCTTGTGACTTCTATCAGTGTCCAGTAGATCACTGGTTAAAGCTTGCAGTAGTGTTCTTTCTGCTCTAGGAGGATGCAGAACCCCTGACCTCTGGAGAGTGCTGACTGGCCATGCACTCTTCCAAGAAAACAAAAAAACCCTCTCTAGCAATACACACCAAACTGAGCATGTGCAGAGTGTCTCAACATGATATGTCTTATCAGGGGATAAAAGGGGGGGCAGTGGAAGAAGAGGAGGATCAGAGAAGTCAAGATCAAACAGTATTTTTACACAATGCAGAGGATTAACTTCTTAGGTTCCATAGTGAAGATATCAGGCATGCTTTACTGCGTATACAGACTGATTTTACTTTTGTGGGTTTAGTAACACTTTAAGAATTAAAGAGTACTTAAACCCCAAAAACCAAAAATGTGTAATATAATACAGCTTACCAAACTTTCATTGTAAAGGATACATTACCTTTCTGTTTGTATTTTTTGGTTTGGGGTTTTTTTTTACCTGGTGATCTAGCCAGTAACACACTTCCTATCTTAGGTCTCTTTCACACGGGTATTTCATTTTTTTCATCAGTTCAGTCAAGTTTTCCAAGAAAGAAGGATCCGTTCACATCAGTTTTTCATCAGTTTACATCTGTTTTTCATCCGTTTTTTTTTCATCCCTTTACAGCTGTTTTTTTTTTATCCCTTTACATCCATTTTCACCCGTTTACATCCTTTTTTTGCTGTTTCCATTCATTTTCATTCCTTTTTTTGTCCGTTTACATCTGTTTTTGTCTTTTTTCATCCATTTGTCGTCCGTTCTGGGTTTTTTTAATGGAAGAAAAATAGGGTTTTCTTCCGTTCAAAAAAACGTTTGTTAACGGATGCGGACATTAACGGATATAAACAGATGACCATCTGTTTACATCCGCTAGTCCATAGAAATACATGGGTGGCCATTTCTCATCTGTAAACAGACAGATGAAATACGGCATATGGAACACCCATGTGAAAAGGGCCTTAAGCTGGCCATACATGGATTGAAATTCGGCCAGTTCAGCAGGAAGCGGCTGCACTTTGATCCATGTATGGCTGTTCTCATTCATAAGTCAATCTGTCCAGGTTTTCTCCATCCACCTCAATGTGTGGATGGGGAAATCAGGTCAGTTTTTTTCGTTCAGCCTGCTGGCTGAATGAAAAAACAAAGAGCCGTGTATGGCCAGCGTTAGGATGTCTCCTCTATCAATGGAGAAACAACAGAGCCATCCTTGGACAGAAGTATTGTTAGGAGATTGTTGTGTCAGATGGATTTGTGGATTTATATGCAGTTTACATACTGTAAAGGACTAATGAATTGAAGCTGAACTCCAGGTGACACATTTTAGGCAATTATACAAACAACTTAGGGATTTGACTAAATGAATAAAAGCTGACCATTGTATGCACCTCTGTCAGTGATACATCAATCTTTTAGTTGCTTGAAATGAGAATCATGCAAACTAAGGCTTGTCATCGCAGCAAACACCAATAGATGTTGGATCTTCTGTTACATCAAATGAACTATCTTATGCTGCCCTTGCATGCATAGGTTTTGACAATTTCAAGACGTTTCAATCAGATTTAATTATAACAGGAATTGACTGAATTAAGATGCAGTCCAACACTTAAGCTGACTTCATGGTTGCCAATGGACACAAAGGGCAGCCTGCACCCAATTTCAATAAATGGGAAATTGAACATACAATCAAAAATGCAATTGCTTGATCTAATTGCTACATGTATGGCCAGCTTCAGCAGTGGGTTACTTTTCAATGGTTGGTCAGTTATGTGTGATCAATTGCTGGTTGAAAAATGTCTGACAATTGCCATGTGTGTGGCTGGAATTACAGAATATGCCCTGTCACAATCTGAAATCTTGGAGCTCACTAATCAGTGAAAAATAGTTATATTCTTACTAAGGATCTATACACATTGCTTTGGGGCTCAGATAACACTGTTCAACAAATTTTTATTTTTTGCCAGTTTTGGAAACAAAAGGATCCATTTCTTAATGAATTTCACATTCTGAGTTCAAATATAACAATGAAATTTGTCAATTGGCTCTAGTTTTTCTGTAAACGGAAAGTTTTCTACTATAGGCGTAATGACTACATAATGCACAATAATTATATAGATAGATGTCTTTCCACAAATATAAAGCAAGTGATATTGACTACATAACAAAGCCTAAATGGCATAATATATTGCATAGGATTACCAAGAAAAATTATAGCCATAAGCTAAGTTGAATCATTTTAATACTTAGGATTCTCACTAGTTTTGTCTTCAGTTTGTGTCGGTTTTGCTTCTCTTGGCTTTTCTCTTGTATTCGAGGAAAGGGCTATCTCTTACAACTGTCCAGCAATAGTCAGCAAGCATTGATGGGCTCCATTTACCTTGATATCTTCTTTCCATAGCTGCAATGTCTTGATGGAAGCGCTCTCCGTGTTCATCACTCACTGCTCCACAGTTTGGTGGGAAAAAATCCAGATGCGAATGTAGAAAATGAATTTTTAGAGACATGTTGCAACCCAGATTTCTGTAAGTCTGGATGAGTTTTTCTACCACTTTCTTGTAGTCTGGTGTTTTATTGTTTCCAAGAAAATTTGATGTCACTGATACAAATGCTGTCCAGGCAGCCTTTTCCTTTCCACGCAACAGAGAAAGAAACTCATCATCATGAATAAGTTTACGAATCTGTGGCCCAACAAAGACTCCTTCATTTATTTTTGCAGCACTAAGTGCTGGAAATTTGCTAATCAGGTACTTGAAACCTCATTATTCTTGTCCATTGCCTTAACAAAGTTTTTCATTAATCCCAACTTGATGTGTAATGGAGGTAATAAGATCTTATTGCTGTCTACAAGTGCTGGATAGTTAACATTTTTTTCTCCAGGCTGCAATGACTGGCGTAATGGCCAGTCTCTTTTGGCATAGTGCATTTCTCTCGCACGACTGTCCCACTCACAGAGGAAGCAGCAGTACTTAGTATATCAACCTTGAAGTGCAAGTAGGATAGCAATCACCTTCAGGTCACCACAAATCGACCATTGATGTTCATCATAGTTGATGCACCTTAAAAGCTCTTTCAAGTTTTCATACGTTTCTTTCATTGAAACTGCGTAAGCAACTGGAACTGACGGCAGCTGATTGCCATTATGGAGCAAAACAGCTTTAAGACTCGCCTTTGAAGCATCAATGAACAGCCTCCACTCATCGGGATCATAGCATACGCCGATGGCTGAGATTAAACCATGAACATTGTTACATACAGCAATATCACCTACCTGGACGAAGAATGGGATCAGATTTTTCTGACGATGACGGTAGAAAGACGTACGAACATCACTTGCTAGGAGATTCCACTGTTGTAGTCTTGACCCCAAAAGCTCTGCCTTGTTCTTCGGAAGATCCAGGTCTCTGATAAGATCGTTCAATTCCACTTGTGTAATGAGGTGTGGTTCAGTGGGTGTGGATGGAAGAAAGTCTGGGTCATGTGAGGTTGACGGTTGATGACTACACGCTTCAGGTTCTTCCTCACTTGACTCAACCACGAAGGATTCTGGTGCTTTAGGAATTGGTAGCCCCTCTCCAGAGGAACTGGACGTATTGCCGATGGAATATTTGGATAGTGCACAGATAACTTTTTCTTCTTATTTACCCCTTTTGTTGGAGGCACCATACAAAAGTAACAATTACTAACATGATCTGTTGGCTCTCTCCAAATCATTGGCACAGCCAAAGGCATAGATGCCTTTTTTCCATTCAACCATTGCTCCAGTGCCGTCCCACAAGAATTGCAGCATATATGTGGTGCCCAGCTCTTGTCCTGGTCTCCTATCTTGCAGCCAAAATACAAGTTGTAGGCTTTCTTAATCATTCCTGTTATCCTCCTTTTTTGTGAGATAAAAGTTATTTCACCGCAGATATAGCAGAAATTATCTGCTTTATTCACACAAGTTCGAGGCATTACTGAGTAGCCTATATAAGCATAAAACGAAATGTAAAGACGAACTACAATCAGCTACAGATACTGCAGCTTTTATGCAGTGAAGTGATGCAATTAAAGGCTAATTTTGCATCATCTCAGTATACATGCAATTTTCTATTGGTCACCAGTATCAATTGCGCAATATGCAGCTGAAGTTGCATCATAATTTTGAATGGCTTACGTCATTAGATGGGTGAATATATCATGGAAACTAGAGCCAATCAACATTTTTTAGGGTCATTTTCGTTTTCAGCACCCCAAAATTATGTAAGATTAGCTAATTTTATGCCCAAAACTTTTTACCTGTTGAACAGTGAAATAAAAAAACAGAAGTGTAACTATAACTTGGAATCTCATTTACTTGTGGATTTGTATGCGGTTTTCTTCATTAATGTTTCTTTTTTTTGTTCATGTGTCTTTATAATACAGGATGGAAAAGTGATTGTCTGGGATGCTTTTACAACAAACAAGGTCAGTAATATCTGCATGTAGACCTATTACAACTTCTACCAAATATCACAATATAGTGCCACTATTATGAAATGTATTTATTTCTCATGTCTGTATGCATGTAATACATGTAATATTATCATTCCAATATAAACTCTTTCTTTATTTAAAGTATTTGTGTTTTTCTTCACATTTATATGCAGACCAAAATCTCCAGCAAAATTGAAAGTGACAGGGTTGGGACAACCTGTAACATTTCTTAAAAAGAGTACTTGTAATAGGGGGTTTCCATGTAGCCGACATGCACAGTTGTGTCCCATCTTACATACAGCGTTGCAGGGCGTCAAGCTGGTGTTCATCCCACATACTGTTCTGTGCACGAATGTCAGTACTAGACCTCTCCTGCACATCCTCCTGGCCATTACACACATAACATATAGGACTATGTATTACACGTAGTCCAGACAGAAGCTCCAGACATCGAACTGACCACAGGGGCCCATGAGACACAGGAGTCCAAGCTACTTCTCATCACCACCCATTCCAGAGCTGACCAGGCTTGCACCAGTATAGCATACAACTCTTCATCCCCAGGCATTGCCTACTCTCCATACAATATTACATTGTGGCCTTCTTGTTGCAACGTAATTTCTTTGCTCAATATCAAAATAATAAACAATCCATTTCGATGGTGACAACTTTCCAGATATTGGTGAGATAGAACACATCAGTCTTTTTATTCTGCATCTTGCTGATAACTGTTCATAACTTGATTCCCAAAAACTATGGGCAAAGTCCCACACTACCCTTTCCTCGAAGGGAAGAACACACTAGAACCCTTCAACTCTCATATCCGTAGTGGGGCCAAGAAGTCTCTCCTTCCTAGACCCAAGTTCTTTCCACCTTATAAAGGGGAACTCGTGATCTCTCCACCTCTCAGAAGGAATAACTCGGAAAGGGAATCCCTACCTGCCTACATACAGTACTTAAACACTTTAAATAAAAGGTGACCATTGTAAGCACCTTGGACAGTATTACAGATTTTTGCTAACCCCATCACCTTTGTTTATACAGAGTGGTCTGCGTGAAAATGTGGAGGCAAAAACTGCAGTCATATACTGAATATTGTCATTACATGTTTTAGCTGCATACAGTTATTAGAATATTTTTATAAGGAGTATGAATATTATTCTGCCTTTTTCGGTGTTTACAGTATATATTCTTATGTAAAGTTCTGCAATGGAGGCTGCAGGTAGAGATAACGTTGTCACCCATGGTCTCCTGGATTCTGATTTAGATTTTTTGCTTAAAACTAAAGGCTGCTAGTTGTACTTTGCCCCAGAGCTAAAGAATACCCAATGCGGTACAAAACCCTCCTCCCCCAAGAAAACTGCATTGTTGCTTGCACATGATTAGACCAGCCTTTCTCAACCTGGGTGCCCAGGCTCCCTGGAGTGCCTTGAGGTTTCTTCAGGGGTGCCTTAGCAAAATGTCTAAAAATGTCCTAAAAATTGCATACAAGCCAGCGGGTGCGACAAGTCTGCCTTTTAGTTACACAAGGCCACAGGTTCTCATTGTGCCCCCTTAAGACCTTCTAGCCACCGGCATCCTGACAACCAATGACTTCATGAGTTAACCTCCCTGGAGGTATTCCCGAGTGTAACTCGGGGTAAAGTTTCAGCACCACAAGCGGTAACCCCGAGCTACACTTGGGAATACCCTGCAGTGCTGCTCCGGGATCTCTTCTTCACTTACCTTGTCCTTCGCTCTCTCAATTTCCCTCCTGCAGTGTCCCCGGCAATGTCCTCCGGACGATGCCGGCATCCGTCTTCCGGGTTCCGTTCCCTGCGTTGCCAGGACGTACGGGGGACGGAACAGCGGGAAATTTAAAAATGTGAAAAAGTGACATTCACTAAATACATTAAAATTACATAGTAGAACATTACTGTATCAAACCATTTCACATACATTTTGTCCCCAGTACTTTGTCCTGTCCTGCCCTGCCTGGAAACTGAGAAATGTCCATGGTATCCAAAAAGCGTCCCTTTAGGTCAAAAGCGGTTTTAGAACAGCTAGAGAACAGCGATAGTAAATCAGAACTACTTGCAGAATTGAGTGATAATGATTTTTGGGGAAATTCGTCATCAGACACTGAAAACGATTTTGCGACTTTGCTCAGTGATGTGCGAACTTGGCGCTATATTTCAAATTTCAGTGTTTTTGGTTTGATTATATTATTGAATTAAATGTATTATTATTATATTATTATTTTTTATGATTATTTATTAAATTATAATTTATGATTTTGTGTTTCAAATTTTATCATACCCGGGATGTTTACTAGACTCTTGTTCGGACAGATTTCAGTGAGTTATTCCTAAAAATTACAGGCCTACAATAAAAAAAATACATATTTCCATGCAAAAAAATGTACCGCTTTGAGCACAGAAATACTGACATAATCAGACCGCTAGGAAGGCTACAGAGGATGTCATCTGCCTGCACAACATCCTAGTCTGACCCTTCCCTGCCCTCCTCCATCAGTGCTGGGGTCTCTTTAGCTCAGTGATGGAGAAAAACTGAGGGAGAAGAGAAACATTGGAATACTAGTAAGTACCAGTGTGCAAAAGTGTATTTGCTTTGGAAGAATAAATCACCTCTAATGTTGGGTGTCCTACATGTGTGGATTTTGCTGCGTTACATAGAACTATTAGAATAGTTTTTCACTGTTTATAATGGAGTGCCTCAAGACTGTCCATAATTGTAAAGGGTGCCTTGACTGAAAAAAGGTTGAGAAACACTGGATTAGATAATGGAAGCAGATCTTCACCATATTAACTAAGCTCTGGGGAAAAGTCTCTTGCAAAGAGCAACTTCCCCTGCAATGTGAACGGCCTATTTTTCTTTAGTAAATCAACCCCAATGACTTGGAACTGCCAGAACAAGTAGCCGGTTCCCAGGGATATTTAGTTGTAGTCTTTCTATTTATCAGTGATAAGAACTACAGAACGAATAACAATATAATCAGACTATCATATAACACTGACAACCAACAATGGGTTTCCCACATCACAGCACATACTCTTTGTCACCTGTACACACCTATACAAACACTAGACAATCTGTCAGTATTTATCATATTAACCACATCAAAATCTCAAAAAGAACATCAAAAACATGTAACACGAATAACACTTCCAATGACGTACTATAGATTAAAACCCTACATTCAGCTATAGTATAAAAGTTCAATAAATCAGACTTTTATTTCATCTGTCACTGCTTCTCAAGTGGTCCTTTTCATCGTAATATTAGCTTAATTATCTTTGTGGGTACAGAACAAATGGCAAAGCAGTACACCCCTTCAATTCTGCTGACATTATTTTTGTATTAGTATGTTTATACGGATTATTAAAAGTGAAAGAAGCGTGCAATTGATTGGTTTATAATCTGTTATTAAACACATACTGACCAGATCCAATTTACCTCTGGGCCCTCTCACACTGGTGCATTGCGTCTGCGCATGAATGTTGATATGAGTTAGTTCTCTGCATGAACCTGTGTTATATTGGGAAGCCCATTCATTTGAATGAGCTGGCAAGGCACTAGAAAGCATAGAAAATCCATCCTGTAACATTTTCTGTGACTCAGCATACCGCAATATACAATAATGCATTCCCATGCCTTGTGGTGTGCTGCACTGCAGATACCATGGCAAGGTGTGCTGGGGTGCCATTAAGAAGGAATGGCACCACAGCGCACTAATGTGCATTGCTGCAGTAGTGTGAATCCAGCCTCAGGCCTGGTGTGGTAGATAGAGACATCTTGGTGGTATATGACTAGAACTTCAAGGTCAGCAGGTAAGACTTTTTTTTTTTTTTTTTCTTTCACATATATTTGTACTCTCTGTGGACCATCAGTGAGATCAGACACTTTATTCCTAATAAATAGGGTTATATTGATGAGAATATATAATGGAGAAAAGCTGGATGGACTAAGCTCTGCAAAGAGATTCGGAGACAGAATTGCAAAAGTGCGCTAACAGTAAATCCACAACTGTTTTTGCTCTAGTTAGATGGTATCTAAAAGAAGAACGTCTCTAATCATGTTAGTATGCAAGTTATTTCTTGTACAGTATGGCCATTTACTTTGATAATGGATACTTTCAATCTTTGGATAGCTTCAAACATGACGCCCTCACTGATGAAATCTACTTCCATAAAATACAGAGAACAGGGAAGGTGTAGTTTTCTATTTCACCTTTCCTACACTGTAATACTGAAGAAGCCCCTAGATCCCTGGTGTTTAACCTGCAGCCTGAGGGCCGCATGCAGCCCTTTAGTATATTATGCATGGCCCTTCCGACTGTAGTAGTGTTTAGTTTGTAGTGGGGACATTGATTAGGGCAGCCTTTCTCAACCAGGGTGCCTGGGCACCCTGGGTGCCTTGAGGATTCTTCAGGGGTGCCTTGGCAAAATGTCCAGAAATTGCATAAAAACTTGTATACAAGCCATCGGGTGGAACAAAGCCACCAGTTTTCACTATGCACTATTACAACCCTCTAGTCGCCAGCATCCTGACAACCAATGACATCGTCAGTTGATAAGGAGAATGTCAGCTGCCTGTGCAGCATCCTAGTTTGACCCTCTCCTGCCCCTCTCTGCCAGTGTTGGGGTCACATTAGCTCAGTGATGCAGAAAAACTGAGGGAGAGGAGAAACACTGGAATACTAGTCAGTTCCAGTGTGCAAAAGTATATTTGCTTTGGAAGAATAAATCACCACTAATGTTGGGGTGTCCTACATGTGTGGAGGTTGCTGCATTATATAAAACTATTAGAATAGTTTTTCACATTTTAGAATGGGGTGCCTCGGGACTGTCCTTAATTTTAAAGGATGCCTCGGGACTGTCCATAATTTTAGAGTGCCGGGACTGAAAAAAGGTTGAGAAACACTGGATTAGGGTAATCGCATTGATCTCTTCTAGCCTCGTGTAACATATTCACAGTTTTGTATTGTCTTCTATAGCATCTCCCCAGCCAAAAATCTAGCATGTCCACAGTCTCTGACCCTCATTTCCTCTATTAAGTCTGTAGTTTCTGACTGTTCTTTCAAGCATTACATATATTGAACATTATGTGAACATTGGTGAAATCACAGGCCGCATTTGAGGCCCCCTTTAGCTCATAAGTTGACAACCACTGCCCTAGAGAAAACCTTTTTATTTTAAAAAGGGAACTGATTTTTTTTCATTATAAATAAAAAATAGAACCAGGCTTTTCCTGTTGCTAAGATAATGCTGTAATGATGTGGTTTTTGGTTCCTTCTAGGAGCATGCAGTTACCATGCCTTGCACCTGGGTAATGGCCTGTGCCTATGCACCATCTGGCTGCGCCATTGCATGTGGGTAAGTCTGTCATAACTGGTGCTATTCTAAATAACATGTTTATATATTTTTATTTCCTGGATAAAATGTGACACTACGGATTTCAGTATCAGCCTGACACAGGGCTATTTGAGGTCCAGGACATCTTGAAGCCACCATGGACACCATGAGCTAGTGTGATACTTTTAGCGTGTTTATACGCTTTGGGTTCCTAGCCAAAAAAGATACACATTGAAATGTATAAAATTATTTTGAAGTCTGGATCAACTTTGTGTATGTTATTTCTTATATTGACTTATAATTACCTCTTAATTTTTGTTATGATTCTGACTTCTATTAAAGAAGAGGTACCCTTTTAGTAATATCCATCATCCCTAGGCCCACACATGCAACCCCCTCTCACTATTTACATCTGTCAAGTGGAAATTTTCTTCAGCACTGGCAGTGTCTGCACAGTCCACCTTCATGGACTTGCATAAAGGCATACTTTAACTGTCTCTACTCTTGGAGTATAGTTCTATACTCTGATCAATCTCTTCTGATAGGAAAATTCGATCTATAGTCACCAACCCATCTGATTGGAAGTAGATCTTGTTCAATAGTTAAGATAAGACCATAAGTTATTAATTGTGCCTCTGTTTCTACTATGTAATCTCATAATCTGATAGCTCAAAATATGATTGTATTCATGAATAAATTATCTTGGTGCAAAACTATCGATAATTGTCCACCCTGGCTGATCTACTCAGTTTGATAGAATCTAAATTGATCAGAAAGGAAGATACGGCAATTCGATTGTCAGCATGCTTGATCGCTTTGATCAAATAGCACACTGATAAGATAATAAATTTGTGTGTGTATATAGCTACCATAAGACGTGCACTATGTAGGTACAGCCAGTGCTGAAGAAGATGATTCGGCTGTCATACTGAATTGGATTTGCCCTTTAAGACTTAAAAGTAAAGTATGGCCCCATACCGGGCCTCTTGGCTCACCAGCAGAAGTTGGCTTCCTATCTGTTTTTATCCGCCACTAGAACAATTGCTCAGGCCTGGAGGAGTCCGTTTGTCCCTCTTCAGGGGGTGCGGGATCGTATGACCACTATGATGCTCAACGAACAGATGTCGAGTATCCGCAATGACTCCCAACGTAAATTTTTGAAAATATGGGAGCCGTGGTTGCAATATGCCCTTCCCTCACTCTCCCCGGCTAGTCTGGGGATGTAATGGCGTTCGGTGTTGGCGCTCTTGAATCCCTGCTCTTTGCCCCCCCCCCCCCCCCCTTTTTTTTTTTTTTTTTCCTTTTTCTCTCTCTCTCTGTTTTTGGTGTGACTAGGACAGCTGCATTTAGTTGTTATAATCAGTTACATTAATGTTTTGTAACTTATGTGCCTTTGATAGCCCCTGCGTGGGCGTACCTTTTGCCCTGTTGGCATTAGAGCATTGTTTTTCCCCTTTTTTTTTTTATTTGGCATTTTGTTTATCTGTGCAATTGATAGCCCCTGCGTGGGCGTGTTTTACTGCCTCTGTTTATACTGTTTAAAAAATTTAATAAAAACCATTGAAATAAAAAGTAAAGTATGGCCAGAGCTTTTTTTGACCATACTTCTTTTCTGGGCCACAGGACTGCACTTACTTTTGTTCTCCGGTGACCCAGAATCAATCAACAAAAAGCCTGTTATTGGCTGACATCACAGAGCCAGTCCAGGCTCTAGAGGTATCCTGACTTTATGGTCGAGATCCACCCAGATGCCTGACTGTCAGCTGGCTCAGCCTCTCAGCCTGAGACAGCCGCTCCTACCCTCTCCACAGCCTGGTGCTCCAATGAGCACTGAAGAGGCAGAGTAGAGAGCTGGAGACTGACAGTCACCTCTCTCTGCTCAGTGAAGACTGAGAACTGAACAATCAGCAGTCATGTGATTGCTCAGTTCTCTGTGTAGAGCCAGCGGGGGACAGCTGCAGCATCGGACCAATGCTGCAGCCACATAGATAAGTATGTTTATTTTTTTTATATCCCGCACTTCTCCTAAATATATAATAAACAATTGTTGAAAGGATATCAAGAGAATGTATACTCCATTGTCAAAAGCAGCTTGATTCCTTTTACATAATTTATAAATCTATATTTATGTAGAGATAAATGATGCACCAGGCATCAAGCTAATTATCTGATAACACCTTTTGTGCTTGCACTTTTGCCCATACTTTGTGTGCATAATCAACAATTAAATTGTTTCAAAATCATTGAACAGCTAACCAGAATAAACTTTGACTGCAGACAAAGCCTGTGTTATACAAGGTCACCATTGATTTTGTTGTGTGATCTCTCACTCTGTTTGTTCCATACAGGGGTCTGGACAATAAGTGCTCTGTATACCCTCTGACATTTGATAAGAATGAAAACATGGCTGCCAAAAAGAAGTCAGTTGCTATGCATACCAACTATCTGTCTGCTTGCAGCTTTACCAATTCAGATATGCAGGTAAGAACTTTGGTCAGAAGGTGAAGGATAGTTAAATAGTTGATAAGGTTGAATAAAGACACCAGTCCATCCAGTTCAACCTGTGTGTGTTTGTGCACGTGTTTGTTTAAATCTATATAATTCCCATATCCTTGAAATGTGATTTGTTATCAGTTTTCTTTCAACATCTTAGCAGCCTAAAGTGATATATCTAAAGTTATTTTATATATTTTTTTTTTTTTTTGGATACAGTAGGAAATGGTTAGAATCTCAGGTTTTTATTGCTGCCTGTGCCCAACCAGGGAGAGTCGCCCTCTGTATGTGTCTTCGTGACCACTGTCATCAGAACAGAAAGTGATGGGAAATCCAATGTTTTATGGTTATTGGCTTAGCAGAAGATGATGGGAACACTTCTATTGACTTCCCCTCAATTTTTACCCTTGTGATCCCAAAGAAAGCTAGAACAAATCTTTCCCAGAAGAAACATAAACAGCAAATTAAATTCTGGAAATGTTTCCAATCCTTTTCTTCTCTGTCCAAAACAAAAATGAAATGAGTTTGGGGTTCACCTTTACAGGAAGACAAAGATTGCAATAAAAAAAATACACACTAATTTGAAAAAACTCCATGCTAAAAAATTGAAGATACACTATATTGTCAAAAGTATTGGGACGCCTACCTTTACACGCACATGAACTTTAATGTCATCCCAGTCTTAGTCTGTAGGGTTCAATATTGAGTTGGCCCCACCCTTTGCAGCTATAACAGCTTCAACTCTTCTGGGAAGGCTGTCCACAAGGTTTAGGAGTGTGTCTATGGGAATGTTTGATAATTCTTCCAGAAGTGCATGTGTGAGGTCAGGCACTGATGTCAGACGAGAAGGCCTGGCTCACAGTGTCCACTCTAATTCATCCCAAAGGTGTTCTATCAGGTTGAGGTCAGGACTCTGTGCAGGCCAGTCAGGTTTCTCCACCGCAAACTCACTTATCCATGTCTTTACGGACCTTGCTTTGTGCACTGGTGTGCAGTCATATTGGAACAGGAAGGGGCCATCCCCAAACTATTCCCACAAAGTTGGGAGCATGAAATTTTCCAAAATGTCTTGGTATGCTGACACCTTGAGAGTTCCCTTAACTGTAACTAAAGGGCCAAGCCCAACCCCTGAAAAACAACCCCACACCATAATCCCCCCTCCACCAAACTTTACACCTGGGATAATGCAGTCAGGCAAGTACTGTCCTCCTGGCAACCACCAAACCCAGACATGTCCATCAGTGCCAGACAGAGAAACATGATTCGAAATCCAGAGAACACGTCTCCACTGCTCTCCAGTGGCGGTGCGCTTTACACCATGACATTTGAAGCTTTGTATTGCACTTGGTGATGGAGGCTTGGATGCAGCTGCACAGCCATGGAAACCCTTTCCATGAAGCTCTCTGCGCACTGTTGTTGTGCTAATCTAAAGGCCACACAAAGTTTGGAGGCCTATAGCTATTGACAGTTGGTGACTTCTGTGCACTGTGTGCTTTAGAATGCGCTGACCCCGCTCTGTCATTTTACGTGGCCTACCACTTTGTGGCTGAGTTGCTGTTGTTCCAATTTGCTTCCACTTTGTTATAATACCACTAACAGTTGACCTTGGAGTATTTAGTAGCAAGGAAAAATGTACAAATGTTTGTAGAAGCATTCTGCATGCCTAGGTGCTTCAATTTATACACCTGTGGCTATGCTATGGAGGTGATTGGAATACCTGAATCCATTGATTTGGAGGGGTGTCCCAATACTTTTGGCAATATACTGTATTGTATTTACTCTGTTTCTTGTCCTAGTGATATGGGCTATGGGACAGAATTGAAGAGATTTCTCTCCTGTGGTGACCTAAACGAAAAAAAAAAAAAATCTTACAAAAGTTCAAAACATCCCTCACATTTTTCAAAAAAAGAAATGTTCTGGCTAAAATTTGGTTTGAATAAATATGATATACTCTGATTTCAAGTGAATGGGTAGAAATATTTAGTTTTGTTGTTAAGGGGTCAATATTTTTGAGTCATGTCTAGCTAGGTAGTTAAGCATACCAAAGAGATGCAGATTGTAAATGTACTTAGAATCATGTCAGTATTGTCTTGCCTAAGGCCCCACTTTCTACGCTGTCAACATGTTGTGGCCACTAGACTTTTCTGGGCTTAGACTCTGTGTCATATGTCAAAGAATATATTTTTGGAAGCAGCGGTGGGCCATGCATTTACACTTAGGCCTTCAGTGATGTCCTATCTGAATTAATCTATTTTTGGCTGTAACCTTGAAAATTCAGCTCAGAAAAAATAGGGCCTGGATTAGCCAGGGTTTACTGCCACTGATATATGGCTTAAGGCAATGCTTATAATGGGCCGGCTTAGTAACCCTTACAATGGCAGAGTTTTCTAAAGCTGTAAGCTCATGGTCACTTCAGCAGCCTAACAGCTTGCCATTTTGGGAATGGGTGTAGTTAGTAGCCAGCAAGTCACTGATCACATGCAATGTGTGTATATTTAGTGGCTGCTGCTTCTTGAAGTACGTTACTCTGTGGATGTGATCTGGCAGGCAGGTAGCAAAGATCGCATCTATGAGGCTGCAGCCAGTGTCCCCCTCTAAACGCGCTTCTTGTGTTTACCTCCCCCTACCTTCTGCAGTCAGCCTGTGCACATTAGATCCTAGTGGTACAAGCACTGGCTGCTTCTTCTGTCTCCTTTCTATATCATTGATTGCTTGAATGATTAGTGAGATTGCAACCTAATTGTACTCAGCTCTTTGGATTTCATGCATGAATTAGCATTGTGTTATTGTAGTCAATTCCTTTTAATTGGAGTGCCAGCACACCTTAACCACTTGCCCTCCAGAGGACCCCCCCCCCCCCCCCCCCCCCCCCCCGTCCTGACCAGGCCATTTTTTTGCGATACGGCGCGGCAGTACTTTAACTGACAATTGTGCGGTCATTCAACTCTGTACGCAAATGAAATTTATGTCCTTTTTCCCCACAAATGGAGCTTTCTTTTGGTGGTATTTGATCACCTGTGCATTTTTAATTTTTTGCACTAAAAACAAAAAAAAAGACCGAAAATCTTGAAAAAAAACACCCAATATTTTTTACTTTTTGCTATAAAACATATCCAATGAAAAATATTTAAAAAATCTAATTTCTCATAAATTTAGGCCAAAATGTATTCTGCTACATGTCTTTGCTAAAAAAAAATCCCAATACGTGTGAATTAAATGGTTTATGTGAAAGTTATAGCGTTTACAAATGGCGGTATATATACAGGAATTTTTTTTTTATACTAGTAATGTTGGTGATCAGCGACTTATCGCGGGACCGTGGCAGGCATTCTGACACTGGGTGGGAACTGACTGCCACTGACATCCTAATGACACTAATACAGTAATCAGTGCTAATAACAAGTACTGACACTGTACTAATGGTACTGGGCAGGAAGGGGTTACCATCTGGGGCGATCAAAGGGTTAACTGTGTGCTGTTTTGCATAATGTGCTGTGTGTGCTTTACTAGGGAAACATGCTGATTTGTATTTCTCTGCTGAGCATGTTCTTGCTGGCAGGAGAGAGACCTGTGTTGTTTACACACAGGTCTCTCCCCTGTCAGTGTTACTCAGCGATCGCCAGGTGCCGGCGGAGAATGTTTGGCCAGGACCCGGTGATCGACATCCATAGCCACCAAACGGGTGTGCAAATCAGGTATATATACATGATTTTGTGTAGCCCTGCTGCCCTGTAGCAATAATTCTACTATAGGTTGGCGGGCAAGCTATTAAGGTGCACTGTGCTGTGCTGGCAGATTGATGCCTTCACCTGACCCACACAGGAGCGATCCTTGATACCATTGGATGTGCTGACTTGCTGGAGGATCATACTGCTAACAACACAGAGTCCAACTGGTGGTACCATTATCGACACTTGTGACTGTCCCTTAGCAGTAGAGGAATTGGTGTGCTCTTTTGTGGCTCAGGTGGTAAAGGAATCAATCTATATGTTTTAATTCACATGGCTGATATTCTTCTTGGCCCTTGTATCATCTACGGTATGTACCATATGTAACCCCTGAAGGAGATAATTGGTTGAAATGCATTGGCATGCTCCACATGAAAAATGTAATTTAAAAACAAGATTTGTTTGTAACTAATTTAACGTGGAGAAAGCAATGGTATATTTTCTCACAAACAAGTGTAACAATGATGTAAAAAATGTGATTGATCAGCCATTATATGTCTTTTAATGAGAGTCAAATTAAATCTTGCAATTTTATTCAATTCTTGAGGTGCCTCACAATTTTCTGGGAGTTGCAACTACTGGACAGTATTGTAAACATTTGAGAACACTTAGAAAACATGCATACAACCTAATTCCTGAAAATGTGAGTCAGAGAAACATGCTCAGCCTTGTTTTTCAAAGCAATTTTCAGCAAACATTATCAGTGTTCAGAAACTGTGCTCTGAATTCACAGTGACAGTTCATTTCTGTACAGAATTCTAAGGCTTACCACACCAGATTTTTATTTATTACAGGTACTTATATAATGCTGTCAATTTACTCAGCACTTTACATATATATTGTACATTCTCATCAGTCCTTAACCCTCAAGGGGTGTACAATCTAGGGTCCCTAACTTACATTCATACATACACATATTAGGGCCAATTTAGACAGGAGCCAATTAACCTACCAGCATGTCTTTGGAGCGTGGGAGGAAACCGGAGTACCCAGAGGAAACCCACACAGGCTCAGGGAGAACATGCAAACTCCAGCCAGGTGGTGCCATGGCTGGGATTCAAACCTGCAACCCTAGTACTGCCAGGTGGAAATGCTAACCATTTAGCCACTGTGCTCATTTCATTATTTTTTTTTTACTTATCCAAAGGCTATTTGGTAAATGCATGTATCAATTTATGAAGAGGGTAGAAAACAGGAGATGATGGCAGTCTACAACATTCCACAGTTGGATTTAGGGCCCTTTCACACTGAGTTGTTTTT